ATATCATTGTGTGTTATATACAGCAACCTATTTTCATCAAATCTAAAACATCATCTAAAATAATCTAATGAAGTATATATATGTATATATTACATATATACATACATTTACATATATTATTTTCAAGTGGTATGGTAATTGTAAAAATCCTAATGATATTCCTACTTACCTGTTGCATTCAAATAAATTCACAATTTAAAAACACACAATACTCTCAATTTATAATTATATATTGTAATCCATTGGGTCTGTGTCAAGCCTCTGTGAATAAGAAATTAGATGAGTGTGAGGGGGGTAACACAAGCAGGCTGTGGTTTCCTCCACAATCCAATTACATACAGTATGAAAGCAATCTAACAAGCATTTCCTTGACCTTTTCCGCACGCAAAACAATTACAAATCTAACAGTATAGAGGGTCATCTTTGTTGCTATATTTTATTTATTTATTTATCTATTTATTTGTCTCTTATGCAAGTTTAAATTATTTACAGAGCCACATTTGCCTGTGCACAATGTTATGTTCGTGCACCTGCAAGTTTCCAGCATTACTAAAAGGTATTCCCTGCCAAAGTCCATTTATACTTCCCAACTATTTTTATTCAAGCCGTAAACCATGCAGAAATGAACATAGGGGCAGAAAATAGGTGTGATCCACTGGCAGAACATTTTTGTGTGTTATTTTAATTGACATAATATTAAACAGTTTGTTTTTGCATGTATGCAAACAGGTGAGTAATCTATATACCTACGTGGGCGGCAGAGAGTACATATGGCTGTGTTTTAGTGTACGCTCTACCCATGCTGTTCTCACCGCTCGAAGGTAAAGGTCTCATGAATGATTTAAGGAGCTTTGTGCATCTATTACAGCCACTCTTGAAAAGCCCTGACCTGCAGTGTGTAAGGTCTCTGGGGTATTTCCAATAGATTTGTCTCTCAATTCAACCGCATTTTCTGGTTGAGAAGTTCCAGGACCGAAGCGATTCTGTGAATGTGTGAGCAATGACACAAGGATAGCTGACGGCTTGGTAAAGAAAAGACTTGAAATGCCATTTTTATTTCCTGAATAAATGCATCCATTGATTTCTCCATCTGCAGGTAAACATATAAAAACACCATATGGAGGAAAGACACTACTTTTTTTATACTATGTGTTTAAGTAGGATTTCCACAGGAATGCAAGCAGAGGGAAACTAACACAATTATGCATCAATACAGATTAGCAGAACACTGATGGTAAAACCTGTGTGGAAGAACTGATACCAAAAACAACATGTCAGAAATGGAATATTGCTTTACACTGTGCACAAGAAGTCATACCAACATTCACACCAGCATTATTGACTTTTTTAATTCTTTTGAAAAAAGACAATCATGGACATATATTTAATCAGAGCATTTACAAATCTAGAGTAAAATACAAATCAGGTGTGTTGTTTACAAGAGATACTAAACTCTGGGTGAGTCTTTTTTCACACGGGGGACATTCATATGGGCATTCTGTGTATGAAACTCCTCCAGGTTTTTTGTATAAATTGTATTAAACACCATTTTTCAGCTGTTCATTTGAATTAACAGCTGGTTTCTGTCCAGCTGAACAAGATGGCAGGATTCACATGATCACTGCAAATTATATAAAATAGTCAATAAAATGAAAAGGGAAGGTTAATTTACTAAAATATAAACCTGTACAATGATCAAGCAACTATTCTGATTGGAATAAGAAAAGTGGAAACGTTCCTCTCAGTGGGACCTCAGAGCCAAATGTAATCATTTCTTCTTCTTGTGTTCCCCGGTGAAACGGCGTCATTTAAGGAACTTTAATTTCAGTGCACCTGCACCAGCTGAATGACTTTGGGGCCAGTGTGACTCACTGAAAAATAACATGGTAGATTAACAATATACAACCTTTGTGTAAAATCTACGCAGGAAATAAAAATTACTGCTGTCAGGTGAAATCTGATTTTTGTGTTGATATTGATTCTACTAGAATTGAAAAGGTCATCTATGATTTGAACATGACAATAATTAAAAAGCCACTAAAAGCAAAGTCTGTCCCAATGAGGTTTTCATCTGACAGCAACAATATAGTTGTCTACAGAACAGAAAAATAAGGAAGTAAGTTTAAGGATTTATTGAGGAAGTATTTTACAGTCATAGGCAATAATTAAATGAAAAAGTCCTCTGCGTCATACTTATCCTAAATATTTTATCTTTAGGCATTTATGGCCCCAAAAGAAAAATAATATAATTCAATAGGCTGCAGCATTGCAAATGAAAAATATAAGTGCCACAAACATCTCTATTTTTTCTAAATTTGCAGTCAATTCTTCATGGATGTTTATTATACATTTGAAGGTGAAGGTATGTTTCATAACCCACAGTTAGAGAGACAAAGTCATGAGGTGAGATGACATCCAGGCTATAGCCTCCATTCCATTAACTTCAATAACGCAATTTAATGTTTTCTTAATTGCTTTTGTGAAAATCGAACCATGTTCCTTGATATTTCTCTCCATATTCAAAGTCAAATCGCCATCCACAACAGCACTTGCTATTAGAAGTAGAAACCTTTATGATTTTAACAAGGTTAACAAAGTGTAGCAGCGTGGGAACATCATCGAAAACTCACCCATGGTCTCAAATCATTTTTCCATGCAGTAGTTGTATGTTCCCTCCTCTCTGTCCTGCTATCATTACTAACATGTTTGAAGTAAATCGCTCCCTCTTCTGTCCAGCTGGGATGTTTAGCTCACAAATGTCTGGGGCTTATGGGAAATGGTGTTTGCTAAAGGCCACTAAAACATTTTTTAACATTGCCTACAATGATATTAGATTGTTTTCCAAAAAATGTACCATACTTATCTAAACACATCAAGTGAGCCACACGACATACTGTTGAGAAAGGCTCAGCTCCAAGGCTGGACTTCTAGCTGTTAGCAATGATAAAAATGTGAATGGGATTTTGGGGTCTGTTCGGTTCGGAACAAAACAGAGCCCAAAGTTCTGGTTTCACTTTGGCTCTCTATATGATAATTATTTAGTTAATTAAGTTACTGTTTCTTTACCTGTCACGCTTGTCAACCCAGATTTACCACATCTACCATTTGAAAAGTTCTTTTGCAGCGATGGTCCAGTCCTTGATTTCAATGGTAGTCAAAGACAGGCCTCTCATTTCTATACAGTGACAATCAGTTTTTTTTAGCTGAACTATCACTTTCTGATTTTATCAGCTGTCGTTATAGCTAGCTAATTAAGCTAACATTAGCCTCACAAGTTGGTTTAAAACCCTGTGTTCGGCAGACTTATTCATATTTTCATGATTCGTTTTAAAAGAAGTAAAAGGGTCTTAAATATGTTGATGTTGAGTTGATGGTTAGGCATACACACGGCTGGCTACATAATACTGTGCTAAAAGAGAGAGGCTGAAGCTAAAAGATCTCAGGCAAAAAGATGGCATCCTTCCAACTTGACAATGCCACTGACTTTGGAAGTAATGCTGGGTGAGGTTGCTGTCACTGCAGTGTATAGTTTGCCGGACATGATAGCATTTGCATCTTATGTTTAATCCAATTCTTACACATTTGTACTTGTATGTTTGTTTTTGGAGAGTTTTTTTTTTTTTTTTTTTTTTAGAGGAACCACTATTCATATTCTTTCTATGAATTATCGGTCTAACTACAGCCCCATGCACGCTGCTCCAACATGTAGAGTAATCTTCAGCATCACAGGAGACCTGCTGTACATATTTACTGCTGCTGAGGTTTGACTGGACAATCGCTGTTCAGGGTTGCAGTTTAGCGAACATCAGTTATTTTCTAAACTTTGTGTATTTCTGTTGCTTTTATTTTTTATGCCCACTAAAAGCAAAGTACATGTGCTAACAATCAAAGCACAACCTCCAAGCTTTAACAAATACTATGGACAATATTAGAGCTCCTGGACTTAAGTCACCAGGGGTCTTGAACATTGACCTGAAATCAATGACTGATGTCAAAAGGGAGAATCAGGCAGGTGGTCTCTCTGTAGACAGTGGCACATATTGATTGAAGAAAGTCCATGGAGAAAAGATAAGACTGCAGTGACAGTAGCCGATTACACCAATACACTCCAGTTTAAACAATGTGTTACAATGGCTCACCGCTTTTTTTTTTCTTCAAATGTTATCTGGTCATTTATTTCTATGTAATTTAAATATTAAGTCTTAAAGTTTGATCATGACTTGTTTGTTGTCATAGTGGAATTTTTTGTCTAGTCTAGCATCTGAAAATCATTTTACTTTTATTACACTGACTGCAGTTGGACAGTTCAGGAATTGTAGGATTAGCCACTAAAAACCATATATAAAAATTATATTTTCCGATGTGATTGTCCAACAGTGTAGCAGTCCTTGAACTATAAAGTGTCAAAACTCTTGTTGGATGTGGAACTTAAATACGTTGACCTATGTCCTGTACGGTCAAGCCTTAAAGGGCAATTCAGGTTTGTTTGCATGGTTTACCTCATTTACTACCTGCATCTCCTACAATTGTTTGTACTCGATCCGTTCTTCACTTCCACTCATCCACTGGTTGCAGTTTATTTTAGTAAAAAAAATATGAACCTTGGTGGGCTAATGCAGTTACAAGCAGAACCCACATGGACCTGATAATGTGAGTTTGGTACATGTTTTTTGTTGTTTTTTTTAAGGTTCTCTTCAGCAAACATTATTTAAATGTAACGTTTTCAAAACAGTTCCTGTTTCCAGCTGATTTACCACATGAGGACAACATGAATTTCTTTGTTTTTGGCTGTGGTATCTTTCATATGCAACTCTTCTCAAGTTGATTTTAATATTTTACTAATATGAACTGAAACCAGTGGACATCTGTAGGTGGGAAATCTGACTAAAAATTTTTTATATCTCTTTAAAAATAGCTTGCAGAAATGATAAATATGTGGGATAGGATTGGTAGTTAAAGGGCTACTTGTTCAACCAGGTTGTCTGTTGCACCACCTCTGGCTAATCTAAGGGCTCAGGCTCAGCATCCATGCAGGTCTCCCAGGGATTACGTGGCATGTGGGGCATGGAGATGAGGAGCAGGGCGACTCCACTGAGGATGAGCAGGGTGAAGGAGGCGCAGGCGCAGGTAAAGGACCAGGAGTAGTAGTATTCAATCCAGATGGTCTCATCACTGTCAATCATACGTTTGACAGACTGGCGCATTACCTCGACAGAAATGATGATGCAAAGACCTGTGAGTCAAAACAGAAAGAGTGGATTGTAATGGGCTGTAGGAAGCAGATGCCGCACTTGCATTGATGGCATTTGTGTTGTCTAAATTGTTTAATCAAATGCTGTTACAGTTCCACATTTGCACTACATGATTGTCAGTTTTATTTTACCTTTGAATCTGTAACGTTAAATGTGATTTTAGATGGGAGATCACGCCCATCACAGTCAATTTCATACTTTTAAATATTGAAATGTTGTCCCAGAGCTGCAACAACTCTATCAGCACTTGCCACCTCCAAAATAATTGTCAGTGAAAAATGAGATTTGTCAACTCTGTTAAATCAGCAGTATCAGTAATATTCATCTCCAAATGAAAAGGTGTGCATGATAATGACACTGGCACACTTCATTTCAAGTTGAGCTATAACCAAGAGACAAGAGGCACTACAGACGAAGCATGATCTGTGATTCACTTCATCCGCTATTTCTGACCTGCAAAGGCAAAGAACATCCCAGCAGGCCGGAGCAGGTAGTCCCGCCCCTTCCCAAAAGAGAAGGTGACGCAGAGGGTGCCCAGGATCATGAAGAACAGACTGAAAATGGCGATGGCTGCTGCTGAGATATTGTACTCTGAGGAAAGAGGAGAAAAATAGAAAAAGAGGAAGGATGCAACAGAGACAGCAAGATCATGAAGACAGATAAAAAAAAACAGTGAGGGAGGAATATTGAGGGAGTGGGTAGGAACAGAAGGGGAGATTGCAGTATCGTTTACATAATAATTGTTTCAATATTGCACTCTGGCGAGTTATGACACAGATAATTAGCCTTTAAATTAGCCTCACTTGAAAAACAACAGTCATTTATCCAAACTGGCAATAATGCCGTTTGCATGACAGATAAGATGCTGCAGGCTTATAACAAGATGATTAGAACATCCCTCCCTCCTTCTCCCTGCCTGCCTCCCCTCCTGTCTGTTTGTCAGATAAAGATAATCTAGTCTTTCCTTCTCTGTAACACTCCAACTGTGATAGAAATGATCCTTGGAGCAGCCTGTGCCGTTTCAGCATCACAACTGTGGAATAACTCTAATGTGTACAATAACCTTCAACTCAGCCTCTCCAGTGTAGGTCGGGCTTATTCTGTCTTAGTCTGTTTGAGGACTGGTGGTCTGGGGGTATGCATGTGTGCGAAAGTGTGTGTGTGTGTGTGTGTGTTTATGCATTTCCTGTGTGCATGTTTTTTCTCTCTGTTCTGTTACATCAACAGATTTGCAGCTTTATTTATCATTTATTTTTTAAAATTGTATTCTGTGTAGCGGGGCCGGTCAAGACTGTCATTGCTCTTCTCTCTAAAGCTGCATCCCCCTGCAACAGTTTTTTTTTCTTTCACCTATATATATATATAGTGTATAATGTACCATCCTGTCGACCTTGCACCACATATGAAACCCTTTTAGATGTATAGTTTTCAATGTGTGCCTTCACTGATCACCGAGACATAGCCGTGTCCTGTACACTGTACTGTACATCTACTGCAATTTATTTAAAACTTCAAGAGTGTGTTCCTTGCATGTTCCTCAGTGTCTGTCAGAGAGCTGAAAGGGTCAGCTCACCAACGTAGGAACAAAGGCGCTGTTTCCTGGAAATACGTTTACTTTGAACATAACAATCTTCCTAAAGCAGGGAAGATGAGAGGATAGAAATCAGAGGATATTGCAACAGATTGTTTTCTTATCTGAGAGATGGTCTGCACTGTAACTGAAAAACAGTATTCCAGGCAGCATTAGCATTTCCTACAAAATGTAGCTGCTATTGCAAATTAGTTGTGTGGGAAAGGAACTGTAGAAAACACAGGTTACAGTGTTTGTATATTGCTGGGGTCTTACACATGACGTGTGTGCATTTCCTCACATGTTGTGCGCCGTATTATGTGGGTATGTGATATGTCAGAGCTTATATCCTTATAGAAAATATCAATTTACTGCACATCTCTTTTCCTTTTACTTCTATTTCTGTTAATCTTTTTCACACAGACAGAAAGTTGGGTCCGAAAAAAAAAAAAGAAACAGGATCTGTAACATGTAGTCTGGGAGGCAGTGAGAGGGCACCCACCTTTCTGGGTCTTGACTTCAAAAACTTCAGCTTCTTCCCCCGATGTAAAGTGTTTGAAGTAGGAGCAGTTTTTCGCTGCAGAGTAAGACAGGAGGGTGAGAAAAAGGGGGAGACAGAGAGAAAGAGATGAAACAGGAGATTGAGATACAGCAGATACAGTAGCTCAGGTTGCGTCTGTAATACCAATGTAAACGTTAAATCTCTTGATGGATCCCATTAGAAATCTAACAAATACACATGCATTAATGAGGCAAACAGCTATTGGAATTCGGGGTTGGTCTTTTGCTACTAGCCTGAACAATTATTTTACGTGTATTCCGTTACTTAATTTTCAGCTAGAAAAGTTATTCAATCATTACAAGTTCTTTAAAAGCCTTATGTCTTACGTGTCTAGAAACCTTACATCTCTGGCAAAAATGATTTACCCATTTATATCCTCACAATTTTGTAAATAAATATTGTCTTCCTTGAAATCAAACTGCAGTTCTACTGACTGATGCCTCTCTGTATTATCTCACAACCCAGGAGATTAAGGCTCATGAATGCTTAACCAGAGTGGATACGTGCAAACCCAGCAGCTTGAACTTGTGCCACTTTGGTTGAAAGACATTCTTCTTCCCCATTATGTCAGAAAATGAAGTATAAAGTGTGTGTTGTGTGTTATCCAAGCATAAAACCACATATCTGTCTTGTTTCTAAATTGGTAAAGAATCAGCATGCACAACTGTTACGGTTCGTCTTTGGCTGTTTGATCAGATGCACGTTCAACACCGCCCTCCATATCACAGCAGTACTTTGTGACTTGCCGTCATCCTAGAATAAAATATCTCTTGTCCCTCATGTTGGCATGTGTTTGCATCTCAGAAATGAGTTCACACCAATTTGTACACAGCAATGATATATTTCTACACTTTGCTGGCCCAAACTCTAGTCCTTTGACCACAATCTTCAATATAGCCTCATATAGAAAAACGATTCCTGGGTGCAGTCATTTCCCATACATCCATTTATCTATTTGTTTCTAAGGGCAGCTGAGCTGGGAGGGAGGGGTGAAGAGGACATAAAGGCCAAGTAAGTGTCCCCTCTTTCTTCCACTCGCCATCCTTTCTTGCTGAGATTAAACCCATAAAGCAGGCAGGTGCTCTCTCCGTTGACACAGAGATGGACAATGTTTGTGTGTCGTGTCTGCTCGTCTGCATGTGTGTGTGTGTGTGCGTGCGTGCGTGCGTGCATATACTATGTGTGCATGTGTGTGTGTACCAGGCAACAGACGAGCTGTTTGTTACCCAGGATGAGAAAGAATCACTAAAGAGGTAACCTAGCAACAGGCTGCTGCAGGTCTTGGCTAGTCCTATCTATTTACTCATGTAAAGGCATATCAAGGGGAGTGTGTGCGTGTGCATTCGGTGGATGTGTGTGTAATAGCATGCAACCTTAGGTGTGTGTGTGTGTTTGAGGTGACGGACATGCTGGCAGTGGGGAGAACTGGGGCTTGGCTCACAGAGCAGCTTGGATCTGCAAATACATTTTTTTCATTAGCCTCTCTCATCTCTCTCTCTCTCTCTCTCAGATCCTCTTAAGCTCTGTCAGGTTGGATGGGGACCGTCGGTGGACGGCCATTTTCAAGTCTCTCCAGAGATGTTTGATTGGGTTTGAGTCAGAGCTCTGGCTGGGCTACTCAAGGATATTCACAGAGTTGTCCCTAAGCCACTCCTGTGTTGTGTTGACTGTTTGCTTAGGGTCATTGTCCTGTATGAGGGCGAAACTTCAGCCCAGTCTGAGGTCCTGAGCTATCTGGCCCATTATTCATTTAGGATATCTCTGCTCCTCTCAGCTTTCCCTCAACCCTGACCAGTCTCCCCGCCGCCACCATGCTTCACTGTTGGGATGGTACTGGGTAGGTGATGAGCAGTGCCTGGTTTCCTCCAGACATGATGCTGGGAATTGACCAGAGAATCAGTCTGTGAGTCCTTTAGGTGCTTTTTTTTTTTCTTCTTCAAACTCCAAGCAGCCTTCATGTGTCTTTCACTGAGAGAGGCTTCAGTCTGGACACTTTGCGATAAAACCCAAATCAGTTGATTGTCTCGCATCACAGGATCTCTGGAGCTCAGCCAGAGTGACCATCGGGGTCTTGGTCACCTCTTTTACCAAGGCCCTTCTCCCTGGTTGCTCAGTTTTGCCGGACTGCCAGTTTTAGGTAGAGTCCTGGCTGTTCCAAACTTCTTCCCTCTAAGAAAGATGCTGGCCACTGGGCTCTTGGGAACCTGTAATGCAGCAGAAATGTTTTCGTAGCATTCCTCAGATCTGTGCCTCAACACAATCCTGTGCAGACAGTTCCTTCCACCTCATGGCTTTTTTTCCTGATATGCATTGACCTTATATAGACAGGTGTGTGCCTTTCCATATCTTTGGACAGTTGGATAGTCAAGGTGTAGAAACTAGTCTAGATCAGAGATGATCAAGAGAAATGGAGGCAAATGAGCCATAAGTTCAAGTGTCATAGCAAAGGGTCTGAATACTTGTGTCACTGTGATATTTCAGTTTTTCCTTTTTGATAAATTCTGTCTCTCTGCACTGAGTGTAGACTGAGGAGGGGGGAGTGACTTTAAATGATTTTAGGCTGCAACATAACAAAATGTGACAAAAGTGAAGGGGTCTGAGTGCACTGTATGTGTTTGGGTGAAGCTATAAGATTTACTCCTGCCCTACTCTCTATGAAGACTATTATCTGCTCACCACACTAAGACAAGATAGAAAGACCTTTGATTTATACTAATGAAGCTTCAAAAGACCGAGCCACTATTTTTCTGTGGTTCGTGATTGAAGAAGGATAATGTCGAGAGCAGTGAAAGAAAATGATTTTTTTAAAGGTAATAATTAGCCTAATTGACTGTTCACTAAGCCCACCCTCCTTAGTTACTGTTGCTATGTCTGTCAAGTTTTCCTTTCTGGCATGGCACAGCTAAAGCAGTTTGGTGGTGCCAGATTTGCCACTCAGAATTTGCAATACATTTTGAGACAACAGATCTTCCATTTCACACAGACGTAAACAAAAGCAGCATTTCTAGCTGTGGCAACTTAAATATCACCTCTCACTTTTACGAGAGGAAGGGATTTGTGTATGAGGCCAAAAATAATGCTATTCAACATCACTTTGGCTGGAGTTTCCGGTGTGTGAATTCCCCAAAGCAAACGAAGAGAAAGACGCGGCTAACATTACACTTAATTCCCATATACTAGCACCTTAGCTCCCATGCAGTGGATGCTCCAGTCCTGAACAGGTATTTTTCCAATGTAACCTGAAACCCCACACAATAATTAAATTAGCTCATGATGTTTTTGGAAGTAATGCTAGTTTTACTACTTTAGCTGTTAGCCAGTTAGCTGAGCATGCTAACATTTGCATACTGATAAATCTGTTCTTTACACTTTTGCTCCTATGATTTTGGTTTTGGAAAGGTGATAAAAATTAAAGATAACAAAAGACACCTCTCTCACAACTCTTTACATATGAACTATTGCCCGTAGTATCTAAGCAGTTAGATCAATTAATGCTTACTGAGACTTGGTCAAGTCCATGTGACTGTGTTGCACTGAATGAAGCATGTCCTCCTGGTTTTAATTAGTTTCAGCAGCCAGGAGGTTGTGGAGGTGGTCTGGCAGTTTCACAGGGAGAATTTTAAATGTTCCTACAACTCACTTGGAAACTTTTCATTTAAATCACTTGGTTTTATCATAAATGGCAAGCCCCCACTACTTTGTGTGTTATACTACAGACCCCCAAAATCTCACTAATAAAGCAGTCCCTCCTTCCACCTCCTGCTCCAACAGTGCTACTTAGGTTTCTTAGCCTGCCCTCAATGCAAAGTTTGCTGATAGCTTTCATAAGGCCTTCTCCTCCGCATCTACACACATCAATAAGCATGATTCAAATATGTCTTCAGAAAAATTCAACTTCAACAATACATGTGAAGGACTTGCCTCCATAGAACCTGTACAAATCAAGAAAGTCAAATCAACTCACAGCATGCCTTGGCTGAAAAACAACACCAGGGAAATAAATAGAAAATGCAGACAAGCAGAATGGAAATGGAGAAAGGACCCTCTGGTAGTTTCTCATCAGATTATGAAGTAACTAATGTCTACCTATCAGAAATCAATAAAAGAAGCCAGGTCATGACAACAAACCCCGGAAATTCTTTTCAAAACCATTGACTTTTAACCATTGAATAGAACTTTAAGCCCCTTTCATTAAGTACCAGAAATGACACAATGAAAACAAATTAAAGCCTTCATCGAGTCCTTCAGATTTTATTCCTGACAGACTTTTCAAAGAGGTTTTTAACACTGCTGTTCCAATTCGAACAACTGCTTACTGTGTTCCCTCTTGCCTTAAAGTGATAGTTCGGGTTATTTGACGTGGGGTGGTGTGAGGTAGTTGATTGTGAAAAACTTTTGTTGCCAATAATGTGTCATAAAAACAGATTATACTGTTACTCTGTAAACACTCACATTTTGTCATGAAAGAACCCAAAGAAGTTTAAAAAAGTAATCTGGCGTGTTTCTTAAGTCTAGATGGTGAACATTCAGTGTGGAGGAGAACATCTGGGTGCGTATCATTGACCTTGCAGTCTGGCTAATGGGGAGATTTAGTTCCAGGGGGGAGAGTGATTAGAGCGAGGTATCGCCTGTCATTTTAGTTTCACCTCTTTCCATTACGCTGCGCAGCCTCCTCCTCTCTTTGCAGCTTCTACTATACACTTCTTCTTCGTCTCCGCTTTCCCCTTTCCACCTGTCATTATACCTGTCACCTCAACTTTCTTATTCATTGTTCTTTCAGTTTGGTATTCTTATGGTTTTACTTTTCCTTTTTTCAGTTGGTTTCTCTGCTCCTGCCGCCCACTTTCCCATTTATCCATGGAAGTTTTGAGGATACATGAACATCAAAAATTAACTGACTTTTAACTAAATTATTATGATATTTCCATCTTTTTACATATAATGACAGCTGTGCAGATGACTTGCACGTTTGCCCTGAAAATAGCTTCTATTTCTTTCACAGGACTTTCACAGAAGATGGGTTTTTTAGGTGATGAAAGGGGGGTTGTTCTTTTTCTAGCCAGGCGGAATGACCGACTAATTCTGGGTCAATGTGAATAGGATGGGTGGTGGTATTTGAATGGCTATTCCACCAGGAACTAGTGATAACTGGGACACAACAGCACAGGAGAGTCCTCATGGCCCTCATGATCCTGTATGTTCGTGTGTGTGTGTGTGTGTGTGTGTGGCCTGGCCTTTGTCATGAAATTCAAACCACTAAAGTTAGACTGTCATCATCACAACGGCCACAAACCGCATCTTAGCATCACATTATGTAAGTGATGGCATCTCTGAATATGTATTTCCTTTTTTGTGTTTCAAATTTACATAATGGGGAGTGATTCAGTCAAATTTTGAACCTCTCGCTTGTTTTCTGAATGCCAAATCAGCACCACACCTCCACAGTTTTGGATCTGCACTAGAAGCAGGAACCTGGCAGACTAGAGAGGAAAATGACAAAAAAAAAAATTAAAAAATTAAAAATGGTGGTTCAAGGTGACATCTGCGTTTTCGAGGGTATGAATTGGGGGCACCAGCACAAGCAGTGTGTCACTGAAAAAAGCAGAGGAGGAAGGTTTTTTTTTATTTTTTGAAGGTGTAAGTGCTCTGTAGAACTGGAAAATGTGATACTTGACCTCTTGGAAACTCTTAAACATCTCTAATAATAAAATCCCTTCCTCCGTGCTGCCTTTGTGCACATATTGTTTGTGTAGGAACGCACACATGCACACAAAAGCAACATTTATATGCTCTTTATTTCCCAGCCGAGCGGCATGATGTGATCCATAAAGTGTTTGTTTGGTTTTTACAGCACTCAAGCTGTCATGCGTCATTTGTGGGAAGCTAATTTCAAAAGTCATTTGGGTTCACCGCTTTTCTGCCATTGTTATGCAACCCGTCCGCAAAAGCAGTGTAATTGTGCCTATATGAAAAAGTGTTTGTGTACGCGCCTCTTGGCGACTAACTCCCCCTCTCTTTGGGAAAATGCAAATGCATGTTATTAAGTCCAATCACCGCTACTTGCTTGGGTATAATGCTAATCAAGAATGTAATCTGTTATAGTGCACTCTCGATCAACTCTGAAGTTTTTTTTTTAACACCACTGTGCATTGCTTATGTGTTCAACACTCAACCTACAACACACATTAGATTGAGAAACGGGTAAAGTAACGCTGGTGTGGCAATTTTAGCCAGCTGGCCACTCCATTAAAGGCTCTAAATTCAGTGGCCAATTACTTATGTAGACCCATGTAGTAGAGCTCTGTTTGCTTCCAGAAGCTCACATCCTACAACATGCCAGTAAGAGTAGATGTGTACTTTTCACAGCTGTCTTGTTGCTAATTGAACCAAAATTATTACAGAGTTTGTTCAGAACTGTCCAACTGCATTAAGGGGTTGAATTTTGCAGACCCTGTCACGAAGTGAACTTATCACATGTGAAACACAATTATATGGGTGAAATTTCACCCAAAGCATGCAGCCTAGCCAAGCCTTTAGCACTCAGCCAAGCTGCCACCCCTGATAGCCTTCTATCAAGGAAGAGGTAAACCACTGAGGTCAGAGAGCGGCTGTTTTTCTCTCTGTTGTCAAACTACACCAACTTCGCAAATTGACCAGTCGGGTGTCAGCAGAGAAAGCACCCATTAGCCTTTAGATGTCTTTTCTTGGCCACTGGAGGACAATCAGCAAACTGATAAGTTTGCATTTAGCCTTTCCCCCCCCACAGACATCGGCTTCACCTGGTGAGGACAGTCTGTGAAACTCACTTTCATAAAACAGAATAGAAACTGACCAACCAGCATCTTACCAAATCCCATCTCCACGTCACGTGTAGTGAAAGGCACGGACAGAGGAGTTGCGAACCACTCTGTGGCCGGGGACACGCCACCTCACTCGTAGATCCATCTCTGATGACACCGGGGCAACAAATGGGCTTGTATAACCAAAACTATTAGGCCTGGCGTGGGAGCACACAGCCACATGCCAAATCCCTAGACCTATTAGAGAATGACTCATTTTCTCTCATAATCCAAATGTAGAAACATCATGTGGTTGTGGGAATGTAGCCACAGGGGTCTCTAACTAAACAGCTGATATTTCTTGCCACACAGTTTCACAGGCAGCAGCAGCAGACTTAAGGAGGGTGGAGCCCTGTGCACTGTGCCGAAGTCCCCTTTGCTTTACCGAAAGGCAAGCTGCCAACACATGTAGTTTGTCAGATGGTCTCTCTATAGTCAGTCAGTCTGCAAAGCAGCTGGGAATCTGCAAAGATATTCCGAAACTGTTTTACTGTTGCTGTCAGATTGTGAAGGTTGTATCTGGATCATTCATCATATTGGAGTTGGGAGTCTGTCAGCGACAATGAGCCCCTCTTTCACTCCACAAGTGATTGGCTTGTCAAAAAAAATCTCCAACTACTGGTGTAAACAGAGTTTTCTGTCTCCATTTTACACCAAGAATGTGTTCTGGGGTTCATCAATATCCATGTACTTGTCGTATTATATGACAGGCAGCTGTCATACCTCTTGTCCGTCTCCCTCTCTGTCTACTGGCCCTCTTTTTCTGGTTTCTGAACATGCAATACCTAAAACGTAGTACAGTAACATCTCTAATGACTGAAAGCCCCCCTCCCTCTTGGACACTGTAAACCCCCCCCCCCCCCCCCTTTTTCCTGGACAACAGAGGCATCCCTCCCTCTATCCACCCACGCAGACTTCTTTCTTCCCCCAATCCTCTTCATCCCTCCCGAGTCTCCCAGGTGTACCCTAACTCATGAGCTGGAGTGGGAAGCCACACTTCATTAAGACCTGCACTGATCCTGAGGTGCTGGAGCCGGGGGATAAGTCAATGATAGAGTCAGAGTGAAATCTTTCTGTTAGGCTGCAAGGCACGCACACACAGCCAGAGGCCAGCGAGAGCAGCGAGACACCCAGGGCTGGCTCTCTTCAAGGAGTGCCAGTAATTAAAGCTACAAGACTATTTTGGAGAAGTGGACTTTTAAATACATGACGGAATGATTTTGAGTTACTTTTTTTTAATCGCTTCACTGTATGCAATGTTATGCAAGGAAGGGAAAAAACGTCCAAAACTGACTTTTGTCTTGAAGATTATCTTTGGACTTATTGACACTGATGCCGCACGCACCCTGTCCCTCTTTTTAGTTTTTTTTTTTTTTTTTTCCTTTTTAAAAGCTTGTGATGAAGTGAGAAGTTTGGCCACAAACGTTTAAACACTGTGCAAGTCAAGCTTTATCAGTGGCATCAGAAAATGCTGCTTGAATTCAGTATATTCCTGCTCTCTTGTCAGTCTCGTGCCTGGGCTCATCAAAGCCAACCTCAGATCTGCTTTGACACTGTCACTCAGACTGAACATTAGACAAAGAAGTTAAATAGCATCTTATGATCTTACATTTTAGAATAGGGAGAGTCAAACAGCATGCTGACAAATTATGTAACACTTCCTGTTGAGATCTGAGAGGCCACCCGAAAAAAATGGAGTGGCAGAAAAACAAAAGAAACAGGAGCTTTGCTTGGTTCTCATCTTACATTGAGAGACCATCAGCCCAGACAGAACAGATTCATGTTTTTGTCACATTAAATGTGGAGTATAGCTGCGATACTCTTCCATTACGCACTTGACTTCAGCTGTTTGAGTGTGCTTAATTGTCAGTCTGTTCAGAGACTTCCTCTCTGGAAGATAATGATGGTTCAGTGAGAGGCTGGCTACAGAAGTCTCACACATTCAGTCCAAACACAAGTTTGTGTTTCTGTGTATATATATGTGTTTGTGTGTGTGTGTGTGTGTGTGTGTGTGTGTGCGCACAAGCATATTTAAATGCCAGCATATACAGTATACTGGCATATGTTTGTGAGGGGGGAGAAAATAGCGGGATAGGACGGACACACAGATGGAGGCAGGGAGAGCATGAGTGGAAGAAAAAGCTGACACCAACCGAGACTGTTGATGTCTCAAGACTTGTGGGAAAAAAATAAATGCAGTTTTTCTTTGACTGTTTGTGGTGCATATACAGGAAACGTGAAGAGATGAAACCCACATATGTCATAGTCAAGGATTAATTCTAGCTGTGATTCGAGTGAGTAGATGGGTGATAGCAGAGACTTTGACCTTCATGTTTACACAGACACATAAATATTTCTGAGCAGCTTCCAGTCCACTTTCCACCATAAGAAAAGAAGAAAAACTCCTCGCTGTGATTTTACATCCAGGATTATTTCAAGCCAGGGGAGCTGTCAGTCAGCAACTACACAACACATTCACAATGATAACAAATAGAACACATTTTCCTAAGCTCCATACCTCCAGGTAAACTGATGGGGCCACAGCCTTTGCCCTGGGGGTCCGCCTCCACAATGAAGATGCTCTTCTTGCAGAGCCTCCAGAGGCCAAAGTGGGCTGCCTCGCAGGTGGCGTTGAGCTTCTCCACCCGTGGGCTGAGCACGGCCCAGTGGTCAGTCACCACCGCCGCCAGCATCGATGACATGCCCACCAAAATCACCACAGACGTGATCTTGACCTTGGTCGCCTGCTCCTCAAACATGTTGCTGTCCAGTGTCTGTGTGTGTGTGTGTGTGTGTGTGTGTGTGTGTGTGTGTGTGTGTGTGTGTGTGTGTGTGTGTGTGTGTGTGTGTGTGTGTGTGTATGTGAGTGTGTGCACAGTTGTGGAGGTGTGTGTGCGTGCGCGTGCCTGTGTTTTTGCACGTGTGTGTGTGTCTGTGTCTGTGACACGAGTAAGTGAAATGCTAGTGTGTGTATAGATAGAGTGTGTGTGATCGTAAAGCCTGCGAAAGACAGTCAAGGCTGCCTTTGTTTTTCTTCAGGTCCTTGAGGCCAGATGTTGACTCCAGAGGTTCCCCTGTCTTGTCTACAGCTTCACTACACTTCTGATATCCTCTCCTCTCTCCTGTTCTCCTGTCCACGGCTCTTTCTTTCTCTTTCTCTGCCTTGTGCCTGGTGGTTGGTAAAAAGGGGCCAGATAGCAGTGCCCTAGTTTCTACCTCTCTCCTCTCTTCCTCTCCCTCCCTAGTCGCCGCTGGTGAGCTTAGGCCATTCAGCTTCGAGATGAAGATGTACCGGGAAGTGCTCACACCTATTACACCTATTATTTGACCATTCTGATGTCGGGTCACGATCAGACACTTTCACTTTAACACAGTGTATTTGATTGTGAGCGATCCGGTTCTGTGCTTCCAACCACAACATCAAAGACAATGTGATGAAAACTCTTTGACAGTCCTGTTCAATATTTCAGTGCCATTCCAAATACTCCAACTACTTATCAATCCATCGTTTGTCTAGAACATTCCCCGTCACATCTCTCTCGTATTCTTATTCAGTCTGATCCGTTTCCAGTTCAGTTGTCTCAGGCGCTGCGTGCCTGGGGACTCCTGGGGGGAGATTTCCTTTATTAGTTGTCATCTGAATGAGCTGATCTACATATTCAGCCAATCAGCAGTCAAGGTTTGAGACAAGGGTCCAGCCTGATATCAGCAGCTGATCTAGATTTGGAAAGACAGAAAAAGGGCTTTGACTTAGGACATCTAAAATTTGAGATTTAGCCAGTTTATACAGTTTTAAATATGATTATTTAGGCAGCAAACAACAGATTTTTTTGAATTTTATGTTTTCTTCTGTTTAATAAATCAGCTCTGTCATTGTTCTTGGATATATATGATCTTCCAGAGGCATTTAGAGTAAACTTTGTCGCCAAAATCCTACAAGTGGCTTTCATAAAAGACTTTTCATTTCAACTCTAAGATAATGATCTGATGCTGCACTCAGATGCTATTGATGGCTTTACTAAAAATTGGGAAAAACTAAAAACCTGATACATCTCTGAGGCATAATCAGCCTTTTCCCTATGAAATACTTGAGTAAATGGACATGCTTTTTATAAACCACTGTGCCCCACTTTAGACAGGACTCTGGCCCATTTTCAGCCCTGACAACGCTCACACAGCTGTGGCTTTTTAACACATCTGAAGCAGAGAGTGAAGGGAAAGTGTTTCAAGACAATGCAATGATGCTGAGACTTGTTTTTGTGTGTGTTTGTGAAAGAGTGTAGGACAGAGAGAGAGAGAGAGAGGGAGGGAAAATGAATGTAATGTGAGAGAACCAAAGTGCTTTCTCCAAACACCATCAGTAGCTAACTGACCCGGGAAATTGATCATCAAAGATAAATCATCTCATTCACGGGCTTAAACAACAGAAACCCCACAAGGGGGGGGTTGCGAGGAGATGAGAGACAGTTGTGTTCATTATCACGTTGCACCTGGATGCATTTGCAGCAAAACGGCTTTTTTTCTCCCAGAGGACGAGTCCCTTGCTGAGGCTGTGGTAGCAACCGCTTGTCTCTAAGTGTGTAATAATACTTTTGGCGCAGCCTGTCTTACTGGGTGACCCTCTGACCTGCTTCATTTGCTCATGGCCCCCTGGAGACTGTGGAGAGACCAAACGGCTCACAGCTGCAAAGTCTCCAAGCAACAGCCTGCAGTGTGGATGACAGTGGGCGACACGTCATCTGCGATACGGGGGGATCACCCCCCCCCCCATGTCAACAGAACAGGGAGGCGAAACACTGGAAACAGATGACAACACCTGGCAAGAAAGCATGAGTGCCACTCACTGGATCGTTATCAACATTACCAGAAATATCACTGGCAATACCATAACTGTCGGTGCAATGACGGAAACATACAAAATCACTTCTGCCGAAATCAGGATTGACAAGTCTGAACTCAGCAGTGATTAACTTCAATTACAGCTGGCAGCTTCCCTGTTAGAATTTTTATTCCAGGATGAAAAACAACCTTAATTGGTGGCTAATTTTACCCATAGCAGAATAGATTGCATAGCCTTCAGAGAGACCCGCCTCTATTCATCTGCTAATGACAGGCAACATCACTCAAGCTAAATTAGATTACCCATGCCCTGAGGCCATTTCTATGAGGGTCACGTTGATATTCTTCTCTAAAACAACGGGATCATCTACCACACATGTTTGCCTTGGTGGCGCCACCCTCAACCCCATTTGACCCGTTCTAGTGCAAGCTTTGGCCATCGATCTACATGAGGCAGAGGTTCCGTGATGTGGGACAGTGAAATGCGAGTTAATGAGGACGGATTGAAGAAAAATGAAATTAGGTGGAAATTACAAGGGGCTGATATAGCTGTTGTACTGCAACATCAGATATTGCTTTCAAAAGATAATTTCCCCAGCTAGATAAACAGAACAGCTCTGATTCCTCTTACACCAAATGAAATCTCACCAGCATAATTACACATATGAGACAGGGTAATGTGTTTTCATTTATTTAATTATTTGTTTTATATGGGGCACACCATACTTCACTGAATATAACTATCTGACTGCTGGGTCCATTTGAATTAGAGAATGCTCTGTATTTTGAACTATGAAAACAGAAGCTGCTGTTATAGTTGCACATGACCAAATACAGAAACATTTGAAAAGCAGAACCAATGGTAAAAGAATTCAATCCAAGGAGTGTAAAAGCTTGCATTTTGCTTTGAAAAGTAAAAACACTTGATGCTGTAAAAAGACATTAACTTCTAACCTTATTTCTCTGCCCACAATCCCTTCTTTCCTTCAGTCAGTATATTATATGATTCACACACATTGAGAGAAGAAAGGTTCACTTCGCCCACTGATTGAATCAGGTGGGAGACTGCTGAGATAAAAAAAAAAAATGGCTTCATTTTGTCAGGTGGCATCTCACTGAGATAACACTTTGATCTAAGAGCGCTGCCATTAGTACTTACACTTATGATTTATTTCTTTGCAAAACAACGTGGAGACTCCGAGGCTGAAGTAGCTCGTAGCTTATTCGGAGATGACAGTGATTCTGTCTTATGCAGCGGATATGAAGAGGCATTCAGGACCCAGGAGAAGGTCGGCCACAGAAATCTGAATGAAACACTGCAACGGAAAACAGGTCCCACTGAGGTGAAAGTTTATGGCTGTAATTATTTGTGCATAACTCCTATATACATTTCCTGTACATCTGTATCTTAATTTTTTATACATAGATGGAGGGCTGTCACATCACTTTCTCCAGACTAGTGGATTTTTAACCATGTCAGCAGCATTGCTCTTGGGTTGACAATGTCAGCCTGTCGGTCGATTGATCGATCAGCCATCTTTTTTAGACTGAAATATCTAACTATCTGATGGACTGTCGTGAGATTTTGTTCAGAGCATTTTCCCAGAGGATTAATTGTAATAACTTTGGATATCCTTTAACATTTACACAAGCGCCACCATTAGGTTAAAGTTGTATTTTGTCTAATACTTTGGTTTATGGCCAAATACCTGCAAAACGAACAACACTCCCATGTGCCTCAGCTGTACTTTGTGCTAACTGCTCATGAGCAAATGTCAGCACGCTAAACTAAAACGGTGACATTTTAGTTTAGCGTGCTAACACTTGCTAATTAGCAAATGGTAAACAGCACATCTGCTAAATGTCAGCATGTTAAAATTGTCACTGCCAACATGTTAGCATTTTGACATTAGCAGTTACCTCACAGCACCACAGAGCTGCTAGCATGGCTGTATAGACTGTTAGTCTTGTTAAAAGAAATCCCCACTAAAGCACAAAAAAACATGACCCTGATTTAATTTATTTGTCTATGTACAGTCTGTTTTGGGTTTTTCAATTCAGATTAAATAAATTGAGATTTAAAAAAAAATGCTTGTTTGAGTGGAACAATAAATGCAGTATATCAGAAATAAAAGAGAGGCACTCTACTATCCAATATCAAAGAATTGAAAATACATTTAATAGTGATGTAAATTCAGTAGGTTTGTGCTTGAAATGTACTGTATCTAGGGCAAGGAGTTATTCTTTTATACAACACAACAAGTGCCTCAGCTTCTTTCCCTGTATTTTTTTTTATTATGCAACTTCCCCAAATTAGCACCTTCACTTCTGAACATCCATGCTCAAGTGTTTAATTAATTTCTTTAAAAAAAATTGACAATGTGCTTATTTCACAACAATAGTAAGCCATTAATCAATATAAGCACATTCAGTAAAGCACAGCTGCCACATACACATGGAATAGAAAATATAGTATCTTCTCCTAAATGTACTTACTATACTTCACCTTACAAAACAGAATATTCAATAGCTAGAGTTACTTTTTTTTGACTGATAACAGCAAAATAAGTGTTTACCTGAATATAAAATGGTAAATTGAATTGTATGGCCAATGCCAGATTGCATCAAGGCATTATTATTGAGACATAGTTCAGTAAAATAATGCTTTGAAGACTATGTTCATATGTTTGCACATTGAGTATTCGATTTTTTTTTTTTTGTTTTTTTTTGTATTTTTTTATTGTACTTTTATATACAACTTTACAGCTTTACATAACATACAAACACATTTGGATTTTTTCCCCACACTGTATTATAAAAATGTAAGATCTACACTCAGAATGGATCATACTGATGGCTTTCTCTTACATGAGCCCAGTCCGGTATATGAAGTGGTATCTCTAATGGAATATCAAACACACTAAATACACTCAAATACTAATGTGTGGTTGAGTGAGCTCGCTTGCCAAACTAGAACCAACCAATAGCCCTAAGACTGAAAAAACCCACCCCAGCTGGTTCTTGGAGCAAGCTCAAGCAGACACTCACAGCAATTTCTAAATACAATAATGCCTTTTTTTTCTCAAATCATTTTCACCAGGTTTGTCTTTATCACTTGTCCATTTCCCAGCACTACCACAAAGCAAGGAGGGTACCTCAAAAGTTTTTGACTTGCCACAACAGCACAGCATTTCCTGAGAGAACTAAAAGAAAGAGCAGAGATGGACATGCAGGACGACAGTAGGCACACACGCCTGGTTATTAGAGCCAAATCCTTCAGGGACGCAGTCGCAGACAGCTCCCTCTGCCTCTGTCTGGGGCCTCTGTTTCACATGGGAGCGGGGAAAGGCAGCCAGATGGACTCACAGGCGGTGTGATAGACAGACATGCATTCTCCGCCTGACTCTGATCCTTATCCATTTAACACTCTGGATGCTTGGGATCCATTCAGAGCAAACGGAAGTCCTGACCTGTGCCGTTTTCACAGTTCTGGGCACCCCCCTTCTCGTCAGCTGCTCCTCTCTTGTGACAGGCACAAACACAATGTCACATCCATCAGGGGGTTGTGATGGAAGGATGGCGGACTGATATGGAAGTGAGTAAAAAGGGGCCATTGAACAGAGGTGTTCCACTGACAAAAAGAACATTTTGTTCCACTGACAAATGTCAGAGAAGAAAAGGATTAAGGAAGCGGCAGCGGGGGAGAGAAAACCTTTCATATTGTTTGGAGGACTGGATGGTCGACTTGTACAATGTGCTAAAATACTAAACATTCGTAACACTACAACTCAACATGAGAAACATTTTGCAAAGACACTGACTCCCGTGAAAAAAGATGCGTTAAAAACATATATAATTTGTGTTTGTTTAAAAGGCTATATATTATTCTAAAGGACAGTGCTGAGAGACGCCCTGTTGTCTCTTTCAAACCCATGAATATAAGGCAAGACCAAACTGGTTATGAGGACACAATACAAACTCTGGAGAGAGGTCCACATTTTAACTTCACACACATATGGAACACCTTCAAGTTGAAGAATATATTTCATTTAGCACCTTGTTAAATAATTTACAGGTAGAATACTGTTATGTTGTTTGGCACACCACTACGCTTCACTCTCAAGTTTGCCCACAATGTGTAGTGACCATTACACAAACAAAGGGTTGTGATCCACACACTGTTCATTGAAACATTTTGACACAGTTGAAAGATAACACTAACTTTGCATTGGCTACAGCACAGACAATGGTAACGCTATTCTGCTTTGATGGTCTCTACAAGCAGGTAAATAATCAGCTTCTCTTAAATGGCTCATCCTCTATCCAGCTGACCGTCCTCTCGTCTCCCTCTGGTCCTTTCGAAAAGGACAGTCTCTCTGAAATCTGTGCCTCTAAGATGGCAGGCTATCACAAGCACTCAGGCCCCAGCAGGTCAGCCCAATGACTTTTCCAGAATTTCCTGTTCATCCTCCACCAGGTGAACCTCGAGCCCAACAATATGCCACTCACACCGGTGTGGTCCTGCGATTCACCCCGTCCTTTAAATCATTGGGGAAACAGTTATGGACCTGGAGGAACTCAGCAGCCGCCTCATGTTCAGGGCTGTACGTGTTTTCCGTCACACTATCCCTCGCCAGGGCGTACATGGACAGCTCGTCCAGGGGCCCACTGGAGGATGGCGCCCCCTTCAGACCGACCACCGGCGAGTTCTCCCGGGACGCCTCTGTAGAATGAGAGCTGGCGTGCGACGTCCGCCGGCGGTAACGGAAGCTCGGTATCCTTGAGTACGGGGAGGAGGACGAGAGTGAGCGAATGAACTCACGCCGTGCCTTCCAGCGGATCTCCTTGTTTCTCTCAATGTAGATGTTGATGGCGAGGACGGCCACCGTTTCGGCCACAATGAAGGAGAGGGCACCAAAGTAGAAGGACCAGCCGTAGGAGTAAGTGTATTTCTTGTCATCGTCACGTTTATCACTGGGGTCTCCTGCATTGCTGGAGATGTAGACAATGATGCCAATTATGTTGCTCAGACCTGATGATAAAAAACAGACAGACAAGAAATAAGTATAAAGTGTAAATAAACAAGTATAAGGAAAAGCGAAGAGGAAGAGCCAATGATCAATCATCCATGACGTTATCAGTAATGATGATGAAACCCCCTGAACTTCCACTATCATCAGCCAGTGATTACAGGACTCTCATCACTCCCGGGGCCCTTAATGATATGTGGGTCCTCTTCACTTGTGTGTGAGGTGTGTGATGAATGGAGATGCTGACCTTCTTCGGTGGATATTGAAGCTCGTCTTTATGATTGCACCATTGATGAAGTACAATGTGTGACCGCAGGTGCCACATCGGGGGCACCTGCGGGGGTTTGATAATGCCTTTCTGCATTATCAAACCCCCGGCCCCTCACATGATTGGTCCTTGCTGTGTGCACGGATGACAGTGTGTGCAATCCTCCAGCTCACCTGCAGCGACGAAGAGAATGCCTGCGCTGAGTAGGACGTTGTTTGTCTTGTTGTAGACTCGACCCACGCCAACACACAAGCCGCCCAGCATCAGCAGGATGGTACTGAGGATGGGGAACACACTGGAGGCACGAACGATACCTGCAGAGACAAAGAGATTGATAAGTGAAGTAAGCCACTGTAAATGGTTTCAACCAATATTTGATTGGGCAAAAAAAGAGGCTGGTTAGTAAAACAACATGAATACAGATGAATAAATCAATCCACCAATCAATAGATTCAATCATAAGGCATTTTATAGACACCAGAATGCAACAATAAATAGATTCATAACAGACAAATAGGGTATGGAATTTGTGAATAATTTTAATGACACTGCTTTTGTAAAAAAAAAACAAGACTCTTTTAAATAATTTGAATTTTCATTACCCTGCTGAACCCTCATCTATCCAGTTCCAACTCTTCTCCACCTCTTCTCCATCCATTATTGAGAACTCCATTATCATTTGTACTTTGGGGCCTTGTTGTGACAAAGCTTTGCTAATCAGCTGTGGGATGTAACAAGAGCTCTCACTGACTATCACCTCCCCAGAAATGAATCACTGTGCCATTTTGCAGGTTTCCAAGGATGGACGAGCTTATTCAACTGTAAAGTCTTTTATTAAGCCCTCTTTTTATTTAGTCTTGCTAATGGACTGAGTTTGGACTTTGGCCAAAGTCTGATAAGTCTTCTTTGTTCTTCTCTGCATATTAGGCAGATCCTGAATTGGCTGTGCTTTAAATGAAGGTCTTTTGCTGATTGAATATCCCAAATATAATCTAATAACTAATCACAATTTATGTGTAAGCCTGGTCATTCTCTTTGACCAGTTTTCACAGAAGAATACCTTGAATTTTAAAAAAGGAGCAGATTGGTTTAGACCGGATTTAACAAGAATTTTGTCTCACCATGTAGCCACACATTTTTACTGCAAGCAGAGTCTTCACTACAAAAGAGAGTAAGTTCTTCTTCTACAGCTCACAATATGATAGAAATATATAACAGAAAAAAATAGAGGAACATGCAAATGAGCTTCGGATTCTGCAATAGCATCATTCATAGTAATTAAAAAATGAAATTACAGACAAACAAAAAAACTGTGCGAGTGTGTGCACTGCAAATTGTACAGTATTTTTCACGCCTTTTTAATACTTCCACATTTTAACAAGAAAATAATAATGAGCCTCTTCTATGTCTGAGCTGCATGTTTGATACCACAGTGTCAAGTTATCTTTTGTAGGGTTGGAGCTAATTGATGAGCAAATGAGGAACATTGCATTCATAAAGAACCAATCAAATTCTTGCAAATTAAGGCTTTTTTCAGACAAAATTGATACAGTTGGCTTTATCTTGTGGTTGAGTTTGGCAAGGCTACCTTGAATTTCCTCATTAAAAACGGAGGTAATTAATTATGACTAGGACATCTGTGAGGAATAACAATGTCGGAAATCCAAACAGACACAAGTAAATTAATTAATGAATTAATTAAAAGTATCATGAGTTGTAACTTGTAACGCAACTGTGGATATATTTAAATCCTGTCCCGCTGTCACATTTCTCATTTCATGCCTTTGTTGTTTATTTATCAATCTCTGTTTGAAGACTGCTCTCAGACCTACATAGTAAGACGACGAAGGTCGGCGAACTGCCTGCTTGGCCTTAAAAATATCAGAGCGACAGTTCTCACAATGCCAGACAAAGAGGACGAGCGAGGAGCACTTACGCAGCAGGTATTCAGAGCTGTCTGTGTCGTAGTCGTTGTCATCAGGGAAATGGTTGATTCTGTAACAGCTGCCTTGATTGATACCTGCAGGGCAAAAAGACAGAAGGACTGAGTCTCCACATCAAATATGAAGTAGAGCCCACTGTACACATCAGTGCGCTTTAACAGTGTTACGCTGTATATATGCATTAGGGGATGAAGATTGTTCAACCAAGGAACAGAAAGCACATATGCATTAATCACCTCTTGAAGCAAGCCGAAGTTAAACCGGATTTATTCAGTGCTTGGGTGGGGGGCATTTTTGTTGTGAATTGATCAAAGTGAGGTTGGTTTCAGCTGGCTGAAGGATGTGTGGGTGCTGGAGTCAGAGCCACATTTGCTCCCTATAGCCGGTGAACTGTTTTTGTTAAACTGTGTCCACCGGAGTACGACGCTCCTGTGCTCTTGTCTCAGATAAAAGAGGATGGAGTGGGGAGTCACCTCGCACACGAACTCTGGTCATTTTTCACATCTTGGCATTGCTGCCTCCTTGTTACAAAAAGGCAACAGGAGCAGCAGGACATAAAAGGGAAACACAGCCTTTCTGATTTAACTGAACTTTGTCTTCCATTGAGGTTAATTTGGTCAACTGTTAGCAATGAATAGCACAGTCAGGCAAGTGTTATTTATACTGTTTAATAGTCGAATTTTAACTCATTGAAAATACACTGTGGATTGTTGTTATAGCCCCATTAAAGCTTTTCCTCTTTTCTATTAAGCACCATTTTTCCCCTTTTTCTTTCAGTGTTAAATTGAATCTCAAGCTCATTGTTTGCATTAGATAGATTAAATTGGATTCCTTCATATGGCACACAAAAGCTACATTCTCTCTAGGATTAACTCATTACTCTCTCTATGATTTTCACTTTCAACCATTGACCTTTGACTGAAACTGTTGTTGATAGCTCCCTGGGTCAACCATGAATCCCTGCAAACTAAAGCTCACAGCTCAGTGCACACATATTTGCAGAAGAAAGTCCACGTGGGGAGGGGTAGTTTGTGTTTCGAGGATCAGTGCATACGCTCGCTAGGCTACACGGTTGTGCGATTAAGATTGCATTGCCCGCAGGGATTTGATGGGTCGTGGCGCATGTCCTAATCAGGCTCAGGTAAATGGTTGAGTGCTGGGAGGAACAAGGAGCCTACTTGAACAACAAAAGACTGTGTGCAGGAAGATTTTTAATGCCGAGGTGAGTTAGAACGAGAGAATGGAGTGGAGGGTGAGAGTGAGAGAGACAGAGAGAGGTTAAAGCTGAGAGAAGTCTATAGCAATAATTGAGCAGGGGGTATAAACAACACCTTGTCTAGAGAGAAAGGGAATGGGGGTGGCCTTAATGGATGTACTCGGTGCAGTGGTGTTAATGCTGGGAGCTCTTTGGCTATTCATTCACCATTTGGACTGTGAACACCCCCAACACTTTAGTCATTCAGCAAACAACACCCATGGTACTAAAAAGTGGGCTGGGCTGTGGTTTAATTTTCATATTTTTACATAAGCATAACAATGTTTTTCTCTGCATTATGTGTTCACGTGCGGGTCTTTGCATTTGTCTGAATCCCAGAGACGGAAAAGCAATGGGCCGTTTGCTAAGCCCCACCAGCCTTAGTTACTGCTGCTACGGCTGTCAAGTGTTTGGTTCTTGCAGAGCACATAATGAAGTGTACAGTGATAACAGCAGCATATTTACCCCTTGAAATCTTGGTAGTGAAATTTCTAAAGCCATTAGTCTTTCATTTCATGTGAAGGTGGACTCAAGCAGGCTTCTAATTTCGATTTTGCTAAAATGACACTTTCTATAACTGTCTTTGGCATATTTTATCAGCTAGCTAGCTTACAATTCAAGCTAATGTTAGCTCCAGGAGTTGGTTTAAAACAGTGTCTCCTCATTGGCTGACTTTTACATATTTCCAGTTGTCTTGTGTTATACTGGGCATGCGTGTGCCAGTGTAAACAGGAAGTAGATTGTCTACTCTGTAGTTGGTTAATGCAGAAAATCCTCAACTATGTACGAGGAGCAGAAAAGGCAGTTGTCACATTAAAATCCAAAATTTAACTTCAAAATAGCTGCTAGCAAAGACAGCAAGGTTAGCAACGCTTGTAATTTCTTAGCTATGTTGCATTCGCCGCTGGTAGTTGAGACTGTTAAGAGCCAATCAGGAGGCGAGGTGGGTGTCTGCGTCGTCGTTTCGAAAAGGTCTCCATTTTAGGGGCTCGAAAACTCCGGAGTAGCGTGGACATCAGGCGTAAACATAGCAAACGTGGTGCTTTTTAAAACTAAAAATATATTACTGTGGATGTAACCTAAGGTGATGAGCCAGTTAGCCAGACATAATAACAAATCAGATTGCATTACAGCAGATTAGTTGGAACAGATAATCCTTTCCTTAAACTTTTGCCCTTGTGTTTTTGGTTTTGAAAGGGATAGATTAAAGGGACACCACCCTTCAAACGCTTTAAATGCCAAGTATCCCTTGAACCCGTTCTTCAGCGTGTAAAAAAAATCTATTGCAGACATGCTGAGCCTAATTATCGCTGTTAAACTATGACTGGACATTCATTGTTTGGTGAAGGGGGTTTTGCAAATGGTCATTGGCTAAACCTCAGTTGAGCTTAGCCTGTATCTCTGTAAGCAAGAAAGACTTTCATTTATCCCACCTCAAAAATACAAAGTCCTTCTTTTATCCCTAATAGCCTAAAAGGCAGCAGAGATTAGGGACGGACCGACCACTGTATAAATGTCAACCTTCCCATTAACTGACTCCGCCAACAACTGACACCTGTCAACTCTATTTCCCAGGTGCCCATGGGTGAGCAGGACAACTGTCATTGTCTGTGGCACAGCTTTTAAGGGCAGGCTTGCTTCCATTAACTGGGTCTGCTGCTTAATAAGGGACATCAAATTAATTAGCGTCAAATCAGTCGGTGGAAATGGAGCACAAGTTTCTGTGTCTAGTCACTGATGGAAAAAAGGGCTATGAACTATTTTAAGCAGCAATGTGAGACTTTGTGCCTGGTGAAAAAAACACATATGGCTCACGTGGTTAGATCAAAAAACAGTGAGGTTAACAAAAACACAGACACCTTTGCTGTCCTGCTAATTGCTGTGTAAACGCTGCATGCTTGCTTGTAGCTGATTTCACATGTACATTTTTGTACGCCTCTGTGGGTGTGTGTGTGTGTGTGTGTGTGTCTGTGTCGATAGTTGTGTCTTTTGTACTAGTGAAAGTGAAATATCAAACTGCTTTTACACGTTTTTAAAAACTGAAAACAAAACACACCTTACACTGTGAACCCAGAACGCTACTATTAATTTTGACTTGTACATAATATTCTCCCTCCTCTGTTCGAGTCTAGACCCAGCCAATCCAGCCTTGTGCGACTCTTCTGTTGTGTGTGTTTGTGTGCATGTGTGTGATAGAGAATGGAAGAAATTGAAGGCAATATTGCAGCTGATTTGGAATCTGATTATAAGCCGAGGCCTCAAGGCTCGTGATTTATGAGTGACAGTTATCAGCTGAATGTCTACAGTTAGAGTGTGTGTGTGTGTGTGTGTGTGTGTGTGCATTTGTATTTGTGTGTGTGCATTTGTATTTGTGTGTGTGTGTGTGTGTGTGTGTGTGTGTGTGTGTGTGTGTGTGTGTGTGTGTGTGTGTGTGTGTGTGTGTGTGTGTGTGCGCGCGTGCGCAGGCTGTCAGATGGACTCTTCGTGAAATGAAATAAAGTCTGAATACTGACAAGCTGGGAGGGAGGGAGGGAAGGAGTGGGGAGGAAGGGAAGAAGGTACGAGGAAATTAAACAACAAAGGCACAGAGTAGAGGAATGATTGGGGGGGGGTGTAGTAGAGGTTACATTGAAGAGGGACTCAGGGAAGCCAGCAGAAGAGAGTAGGAAATCAGCAAGAGAGAAATCAAGAAAGGCAGAGACAGCTTTAAAGGGCAAAATGTGGATCATGCAATAAAGGTGGGAGGACAGTTGTTAAAGCCAGGGGCTTGGCCAGTCAGCATACAATCAGCTGATCATGGTTAATGTTTTGAAGGTGTTGGTGATGAATAGAGATGATAGAAAAAGTGTTTATCTGGGGGATGTTACAAGGTGATTGTGTTGTGAGAAATTGTGAATTAATCTTACACAGTCAACACATTACATGGGAAATAATGGGTTCCCTGGGCCTGACTGGAGTTGCAAAAGCCCCATGCTGAGCATCTCCTCCTCCTCTCCATGGCAACCACTGTTAGTCTTTAATAAGCTCATTTACATAAACAATTTCCAAGGATGCTTTTGACATCTTCATTGTATTATGATACCCACCAAATAAAAGGCGGCACTTCCCTGGCAAACCCCACTTTGCCTTTCACAGATCTGTCACCTCTTAATAGTACATGACTGCAAACACCAACGGACACATGCACATGAAAGCAAGCAGACATGTGTACAAACATAAACACATATTGTATTGGGAGCAGCTGTCACAGCAGTGGTGCCACTGGCAACAGGATGATGCACATCGTCATTATTTTGAATTAGCTCAGCCAATAAGGGCGCAGCCTCAGTGGAATACACCAATAGCATTGTCTCATCAGAGTCCAACACTTGCTTTCTCTGGTGTCTCCAGGAGTACAGTATATCATGACAACAAGCTCCATGTGACACATGCCCCCACTACCTCATTTTCACACATCAATAGCTCTGCAACTAGACTGATGAATAAACCAATCAAAAGTGACTTTAATATTGCTTTTCATTTGAACTGTGTATAGCCTCCAGTGGGTGATATACCTCAAGCAACAGAACTACAATCAGCAGGAGTAACAACACCTTGTTCCACTTTGCTTCCGTTCTTATCCTCGTTGCTTTTAGACCTGCGACGGAAAAGTGTGACCACAGCCGAGGGAGAACGCTCTGTGGCTTACAGCAGGTGGGATGATTAGGTTTTATAAAGCTGTAAACAGATAGAGCGCTGTTACTGGGGCTTCATATCAAATGCAGACATGCACGCACAACTCACACAGACTTAGCAACACATACATTTATTACTTTGGAAGCAAGGAATGCCAGGGCAGAATATGAAAAAAAAAAATCAGTGCAATCAAACAATCCCTTCCATTTTTTTTTTTTTTTCAGGCCAAGTGAGGATGAAAGAAAAGCAATTTGGCGCAGACATCAGTGATTCAGTGTTGATATGACTGACAGTTGGTTAATTAAATTGTCACCAGGCAGCAAATTCTTGAAACACAGCTCTGCTTGGGGTAGACTGTGCATGTGTAGCCACGTTGTCTGGAGAAAATGCACATGTAGTGTGTTGTGAAGGCTGTCGTGCGTTGTCACTTACTTGTAAAAATGTTAATATGTAATGGATTCTCAACAAGCTGAAGGTCGTTTTGTTTGAGCATGGATTAAAGTGAAAGGTCTTTAGCACTGCGGTCCATAGGTGCTCAGTTACATATTTTACGTTGTATTTTTCCTGTGTGCTCAAAACCTTCATCATCGTGTATAAAGTCTTACAATGACGACGAGGTCAACAGTCACTCAGGAATATCGAAAATAGATTTTTATGAATTCTTCCATATATCCAACTTCTTTCTTTTACTTTCGCATCTTGTTTGTGTGTAATATAAAATCAGTGTGTCATGACAAATCCCTGTCACTGAAATTAAAATGAAGTGATTCAGATTGGTATTCTGGTTAAGAACATTTCCTTTTCCATTTTATCAGGTGGTAAACCAGGTATACATCCAAAAAAAGCACTGTCTTTTTGAAGCTTTTTTTCACCAATTGGAGAACCAGTGTAAACTCCAGATAGTGAATAAATCTTTATATTAGGTTTGCAGAAAATGGCAAATGTTGTTTATGTTGTGTTGGTCGTGATCTTAAAGGAGCCAGAGCTCGTCTGGTTCAGGGGTGAACCAGCAACAGAAAATGGTGATGAATGTCATGTGAAACCACCACTACTGCTTCTGGACAATGAAGGGAAGAATTACACATTTTGACATTTTGGGGGATTATGTGCAGATGCTACTCAATGACAGAGAGGGGATTGCTTTTTTCACCCACCTCCAGTCTTTGTGCTAAGGCGACGGCCACGTGAATATGTTTTCATTTTAAAATTATGTTGCATTTTAAAATAGTAGTTTTCATCCGGGAAAGGGTCACGTGATAGAAGCGTGACAAATCAGAGGAGGATATGTTGTGACTGATAAGACCCAATCAAGAAGTGAATGTGGGTGTTTTTGTCAGTGTCTCCAAAAGTCTGTTTCCTGCCATCCAGACTAAAACTCAACCTCAGACTTTTCAAACTGAAATGGGGCCAGCAGCGTTTCCAAAAGTCTCCATTTTAGGGGCTCGATGATGCGTTATAAACCAAACTCTAAAAGGTAGTAGGATGTAGCTGAAGTTAGTTAATGGCAGTAGTTTCATGCTTAGCATATGAGCATGTGAGTGATATGAATCTTCTCATCTAACTCTCAGCAAGAAAGTCAGTGAGTGTATTTCCCAAAATGCTACTAACAATAGCAAACTGCATACAACATCACTTGCATATGACACAACAAAACTTTATTAGAGAAGAGAAGAGAGGAGAAGAGAAGTTAAATGTGCCCCAAAACTGAAAAGAGGTGGGGGTTTGTGGGCATGACAGAGGGTTCATTAAAACAGCAGAAGAGAAAGCCACGATGAGGGAGATAAAAGAAAGATGAGGATGGAGGAGTTAAACCTATAAAAGGATGAAAAGAGAGAGTGCACATCAAGCGGAGGAGAGGAGGACGGACTGACTGAGGTGGAAGTTGGGGCCTGCTGGTTAATTAGTGCCCCCGCATACATGGCTTCTCAGTTGTCGCGTTTTAATTACAGACTTGTGGAGCACGTTAGGAACAGCAAAGTGACCCCCCCCCCCCCCCCCTTTAACTAAGGCCACCTCACACTTCCACTGTCCCCCAAGAAAAACAGCTCTGCCTCGCCAATCACACGCCAACCCACCGCCAGCTGGGATGTTTACTGTAAACAAGTACCTGCTAATTGGATTATTCATTAGGTTATTCCTCGTGCTTAGAGTTGGTTTTATTTACTCGTGAGCATCGGCCTCTGATCCACCGCCGATTCTCATGTAAATTAGGCGCACTCCGTGCACTGGAGGGGTGCTACCCTGGCCTCACGATCTTCATGCGGGAAAACAAACAAAAAAACAACCAAAACAGCTGTTGAGAAATGAAAAGGACTCCATAAATGAGGGTAGTGCTGACCTCACTGTAAAGTAGCCCCATTCAATATATCCCTGCCTGCTCCTTAAATGTCACGCACGCCTGCTGAGGGAGAGGTAACGCTTGTTGAGCAGGGCGGCTAGAAACACTAACACACATTCAATTATATGGTTCTGGGAGGAGAAAAGGGGCGAGAGAGTTCAGGACGGCCGCCGTGTGTGTTACAACGATGTGTTGATCGTTGACAGAAAGACATGTTGTCCCTGCGATCTGTTCAGCCAGACGTGGTGATGTTTTCCCCGATAGCTGTGGTGCACACGGACCTGTGTCCGTCAATAACCCAGCGTTTCGGTCATTATGACCATAGGTGTGTGTGTGTGTGTGTGTGTGTGTGTGTGTGTGTGTGTGTGTGTGTGTGTGTGTGTGTGTGTGTGTGTGTGTAAGAGAGGTGGGGGGTGGGAGTCATCCTTTTTTGTCTTCTCCTCTACACTTATGAGTCTCCATGACAACAGAGCCACTGTCCAGCAGCTTGTAGTTTTAAGCAGAAGCTCAGAAGTGAAACTATAAGCACTGGAGGGAACGATATTTTAAGCCGGCCTTTCTTTGTGCAAATGATGCCTTCAAAAAGAAGTCTCATTGCACAGAGCCGGTCTTTGCCCCCAGCCTCATCATCATCGATTGAGTCTCTGCTGTCATTAATCCACTTTGATTATTTACTTCTCATTATTACCTTTCATTTTTTGTGATGGGAAATCACGCTCGATGTAATAATTGGTATTTGGCATTTGTGAGGTATTGTGATTTCTTAGGGTCTCAGAGGATATAATCCAAGACAGGTGCCTGGCCAAGCATGACTCTCAATAAATTGCAAGTGTCATAACACACCGGGATGCTCTTCACTTGTGTCTAAAGCGTGCATCTTCAGCACAGGGTGAGCCCAGGAACAGCTTAATCACTGATGACAGCTGACTATATGTGGCCTCTGATGGCATTACTGTAAGTCTGAAAAATGTGAATGAAGACAAGCTCACCAAATCACAGAATAAACTGCAGACGCTGAGGAACACCTCACTCAACACCAAAACTGTTTTTTACAAAGGCAGTAAAACTTTCTGGATTCTGTCAAAATACATGTATTTTTTTTTCTTTTTGATGGACAAAGTGTAGAATATTCCACTGTTTTTGGGGCGAAGACACAAAATTGATTCAGATGCCTTTTAATGAATAAATAAATACACGAGTTAATACAAAATCTAACTGTATTAAGACAACACAGTCAAAGGAAAATGCATAAAAGAGGATATAAGAAAAAAATTCAGTTTCTAAGTGAGTGCTGATGAGGTTAAAAAAAAGTTTTTGATCTTGGCCTCTGAATTTTATTACTGTATCTAAAATAGGCTAACGCTCCAGAAATGACAATAAGGCTGTGTGTCACGTTTCTCAGCAGCTCCGTTTCACCTGCCGCTGGATCACAGTGTGCTGTGTTTAGGGTGGACGCCTCCTCCTTCATACTACATCTTTTCTGTGCATGTCATGTTCACTTGTGAGTCGCTTTGAATAAAAGCGTCTCTCAAATGAGCAAAATGTAAATGTAATGCCTGATGCACAGAACTGACTGATAATGACTGAATTTCACATATGTGATGCCAGCAGTGAATTTAAAGATACATTTAGTCAACTTTGATGTGTTTTTAAAACATCTCTAAACACATTCTTGAAGTAAGATACTTCAGTTTTTTCCCCCTTTTTTCTTCACTTTCGTGTAGCAGGACATGTCAATGTGTTTGTGAACCTTTTTTCTCTGAATTTGTGCGTCATGACAGACGTTTGTGCCATGAAGAAAACCATCCAGTCACATCGACTCAGGCACTGATGGGTGAGGCGAGGAGTCAAGGGGTGGCCGGAAGGAAGATTGGTCAATGAATGAGTGTCTGTCTGCCTCTGAAATAAGACGTCACAGCCAACGCAAACTCTTTTTCAAACACCAAATGCGTAAAATGATTTTTTTTTTTTCAAAAAAGCCTTTCCAAACGGGGGAACGGGTGAAATGTGGAATTTTTACCTCATGTTCTATTACAAAAAAGAGGGTTTTTTTCTGTTTTGCTTGGACATGACGTGAACTCAGAGTCATCTATTTTTAAATCACCGGGCATGTTTCCATAGCAATTTCAGGGATGTTGCCAAGCAACAGCATCGGATACAATGAAGACATGAATGAAAGTAGACTAATAGTGCGCACATTTCCTGGCAGCGCCCGGCTTAAAAGTGAATGGGCTCAGACGCGCCGGTTTGGCATCGCATCCTTAAGCAGACTATAACACCGCCGGGTTTTATTGTGTGCCCCTGTGCTTGAACAAAGCGATGTAACAGTTGGCAGACAGCTTGAGTTGAGCGCTTAGCTGGACACCGTCCGTTTGTTTCTCGTTGATCTGACAATTCAGTGGATCAGCGCTGTTAAAATCCGAACCTGTGTGTATATATACGCCTTCCCCATCCGACCTATAACCTTTGAAAGTTCTTCCAGGTTAATGTTCTTTTTCTTGTTGTGCACCCATCTCCCGATAGATACATTTGCTGTGCGTAAAGGGAGTGCGTGTTTTGTGCGCTCAAATGATTGTGCGCACCGAGGAACAAAAGACTCCTCGTCGGGTACTACAACTATTTGTTATACAAAAGCATCAGGGAACCGTGCAGTCTATGTTTAATTACCATGCAGAGCCATGTATATGTTAACGGCTTTCATGCGTATAGGAAGCCAAAGTGAGACTAGACTCACCTTCAATACAGCAGATTCTCCACAGCCCGGAGTGAGTGAGATCGCCCTTCTTGGTTTTGGGCTGCGGCTGGGTCTCGTCCGTGGTGGCATTGGTGCCGTTGCAGATGTACGCCCGCGAATAGAGCCAATAGTCCGTGCCGATGGCGATGGTCATCAAGCTGAAGGCAGCGAAAGCCCCCACGGTGGCCAGCAGCGTTTGAACCCCGCGGTCACACCAAGCCATGGCGCTTCATACTAGTCCACACTCTCACCGGTCCAACATGCACGCACCGCGGCGCGTCAGGGCGCGGATCCTTTGGTCATAGTACTTGTTTGGGTACGTCCACTCTCTCTGCTCCTCTGTTAAAAGTAGAGTGTGTAACTCAGAGGAAGATAAAGAATTAGGAGTATTGTCTGAAACGCTCAACTGATGCTCAAAACCAACTGGTTGCTGCTGTGAACGCGACAGGACACCAGTCGTAGCCACTCCAGGGGCTCCACATAGGTTTGAAGCTCGCAGGACAGCACGACAGCAACATCGTGTACCAGTTCAGAACACTTCAAACCTCCTCACCACTTCATGTTTCTGTTTTCCCACTTTTCCCCTTGTCTCAAAACACTTTTCTCTGTTCCTACACTCACTGCGTCTCTGTTAAAAGCCATTGCCAAAGAGGGCGACGTCAATGGCTCTTAAGTGAGACCCCACCCTCACCAACTCTAACCAATGGAGAGGATGTGCTGTTGAATAAAGAAAGGGAAAAACTCTGGGACATTACAATTTGCAACTAGATCATTCTTGCGTTTGAAATATGTGGGGAATCTTTTGGGAGAATATTGATTAGCCAAACAATCAGTGTCTCAGCTGACACATTTGGACACTACGCTGACATCAGAATCCATGAATATTACCAAACCCAGAGTCAGCTGTCAGAGGGGTGAGGACTGGATGAGAGGGGGAGAGATATAATGACAGGCTTTGACACAGCAGTGCTTTTCTGTGGTGCACTAAAGCCAAACATTATCATAGCATTTCAAAAGACCTTTCACAGGAGATCAGAGAGAGATAGATAGATAGATAGATAGATAGATAGATAGATAGATAGATAGATAGATAGATAGATAGATAGATAGATAGATAGATAGATAGATAGATAGATGTAATACAGGCACTTGTTGCTCAGCAGTGCAAAGTTAATATTTGTGCAAATAGGATGAAATGCAATGTTTGTTTCACTATATTAAACAAGGAGACTTGCAAAATAATGTGGCATTTACATGCTGATATAAGAAAGAAGTCAGCTGGTTAGTGACAAATAAATAAAACATGTGAATAACTTAGAAAAGCTCCTTCTCTCAGACACACTCACACAAACTCTTCCCTCCCCTCCTTGTGACTTTGATCATGCAGCTGACAAATTGGTTTATTAAACATGCAAAAAGCTTCATTCATGCCAGTATGAACACCAGAGTAAAGACATGCTTAATGCAAACCTGAGCCAGATGGAAGATTTTCAAACCAGCGGGGAAACATTTAAGGAGTGTTCTTCTTGGATGGCTTCCACTGGAAAGGTGCCTCAGGCTTGATAAAAAAAAAACTCTTTACCGTTAGCCGGATCAGCAGACTGGCTGATTTCACCCTACAGTTCAGGTTAGAATAAAAGCTGATTAGTGTTAGTGTGAAAGCATTAGATTAGAATTAAGGGTAAAACTAACAATTCACAGACAAAAGCTTTTTAACAGAATGAACCACTTGAGGTAACAGAGGTACAATATCTAAATGGCCTCACTTAAACTCAGTTCAACTCTCTACAGCAGTCACTATACAGAAACTACAAAACATGAAATTTCCTAAGAATAGTGCAAATGTATGGGGCAATGTATGCCCCAATGCTTTTCTAATATAGTGTCACATATTATATGGGCTACATTAGAAATCAGTCTGAGCAGGAACAAAGAGCAGTGTGAGGTTACTAGATCTGTTTCTGCTCTTTAAGCTAATATTTCTCAATGGAGCTCTTGCTTTAATTGCTATGATTAGGTTAGTGTCTTTTTAGAGCCAAGTTCCCACATGCTGCTGGATGAATGAAAGTTACTTGAAATTTTGAAAGATCCCCTCCAGACATGTTTAATGGTTCTCTTTGGACTTGCGTGGCTGACCATGTGACCATTATGTAGCGTTTAAGTAAAACACATTAATGAGAGAAGGGACTTTAAATACTATCAAAATATTCTAAAATTGACTGTTTGAGAAGTTTTCAAATGTAAAGTTCAGAGCATAAACCGGCAAAATAAATAAATAGAATAAAAAAAATCAACCCAACAGTTATTTAGTCTTTGAAGCCTTTTTATGCAACTGAAATAAATCTGTGATTGATTATATAAAACTGGCGTTTTATTACTTGTTTCTTTGTTTCAGTCTGGTTTTCTATGTATTGCTATTTTCTGTAATTGCGGTCCAGATGATCATTTAATGTTTACTTTATTAATTTATAAGTGATTGGATGTTTTGATACAATACATCAATTAAAACGTTGTGACTTTTTTTTACTTCCGCTTCCTGATGGTGGCGCCAACTCGCGCAACACAGAGGAAAAGGAAATTCTGGTAAAAGTACTACTGTCTATGAGAGTAAAATTCACAAGAAGAAGACCGTGACGTATCAATGAAGGCACCCTGGTGTGTGTACTACGCATGCGCACAGCTCCACAGTGTCTCTTCTCCATTGATTTAGCAGGCTATGAACGCGCATGTGCCAAAGTAACAGTGACGACAGTGTCCGCACCTTGTGTGTTTTCTGAGCAACATCTGAACAAAGGCCTGCCCCTTTTCATGAGGATTTCTCTACCGCCATCGTTACTTTACGTGTAATCACGATTACTAAATCGGATTACGATACTTTTATTATATTTCAAGACGTCGGCAACAGTAGAGGTAGCGTCCGAGATGGATGTGGATCACCTTGAAACCAGCGGCGAGACCAAATCGGCCATGCATACTTGGCGTTATCGCCACCATTTCACGTACAAGGCAGATCAAGGAAAAAATATCATCGTCCAGTGTAATCTGTGTCTGCCGAGGGTTAATCTGCTTTCCACGTCGAAAACCTCAACATCAAACCTAAAGAAGCATTTAGACGTGAGTTACAGAAAGTAATATCACTGTAACGATCTCCCACACCCGTCAGGTTAATGTTTGAAAGAGTCAATGAATGAATAGCAACCCTCGTGATTAATAACGTTACATTGTAGCTGCATGCTGATTACCAACTCATGGCGCTGGAGGCTCTTTATGTTCAACTTTATGTTTTAAAAAAAACTGTCATTTTATTCGAGATAAGGGGTATTTTGATTTTTTTTTTTTTTCATTGCAGAAGAAGTTTGTAAACTGACACAAACTCAGAACATACAAATGGCACACCTCCAGCAACTAACATGAAGCCCCCTGCGTTTTGTCTTTCAGAGAACACACTTGGGCTGTGAAGCAAGTCCTGATGCCAAGAGGGGAAGGAAGAAAGAAGAACGCAACGGCGAGGAAAGTAGGCACTGCCAACTCAAAAAACTTAAAGCAGAAATCATCTCCAAGTGCATGACCCAAGCCAAGATCGATGATCTAATCTTCAACTTCATTGTGGAAGACTGCCAGTCATTTTATGTGCTGGAACAGCCTGGCTTCAGGAAGCTGATTGCGGGTTTAACTGAAGGACTGAAATCCATGGACAGGGTGACCTTGTTTACAAAGGTGGACCAGGGCTTCTCCAGGATGCGAGAGGAGCTGATGGCAAAACTCAGCAGCATCCAGTACGTGTGCACCACGGCTGACATCTGGACAGCCAACAACAGGAGCTTCTTTGGGATGACCTGTCACTGGATCGACGGCGACTCTTTGGAGAGGAAATCTGCTGCTCTGGGGTTCGCGCGGCTGCAGGGCAGGATCACATATGACACCATTGCTGGGCGAATACATGACATCCATGTGGCCTACAATATCGAAAGCAAAGTTCAGACCACAGTCACTGACAATGGCAGTCCCTTTATCAGTGTGTTCAAAGAGTTTGCAGTGGACGGCCAGGAAAGTGACGATGACATTGGGTTCTACGAGAACGTGAGCTCCGTCCTCGAGGGTGAGCCCGAGCAGGACATGCTTCTGTTTCTGCCCACTGTACAGCGCTGTGCATCACACACCCTGGAGCAGATTGTGACAGAGGACTTTTGGCAGGCTGTGTCACAGGGGCCCATGTGCCAGCTACATTACAGTACAATGGCCAAGGTGTTTGCCATATGGAGCAAATGCCACCATCTTCAGGTCGGTATGGATGCAGCAGAGGAGATAGGAAAGATGGCACTTGTTGTCCCCGCTGTTATACGCTGGAATGTGGAGTACTGTGCTGTGCAGAAGATCGTCTCTCTCACTGAGCGGGAGCTGACGGAGCTGTGCGCCCGCCTGGAGGTCCCGCGCCTGCAGCCAGAGGAGATGGCGTTCCTGAAAGAATACGCGACTGTGTTCCACCCGCTCGCTTTTGCACTTGAACTTTTCCAAGCGGAGCAGAAATGTTACTTGGGTCTGGTCATCCCAACTGTACTCAGTCTGAAAAACAAGTTAAATGAGCAGAAAGATGCAGCAAATTACTTTGCTGATGTAATCAACGCCATTGTAATGGCTATTGACGTGCGGTTCCAGGAGCTGTTTGCCAGCACAGAAGCAAAGTTTGCAACAGCGACTACTCCTCAGTTTCGCTTGTGGTGGATGGCTGCCTCTGAGAGGGAGGAGATGTGCTCTCTGCTGGCCACAGAGGCATCTCAGGTGGATCCCTGTAATGTAGCCGAGGCAAACACCAGCCGGAATCTGTCCACCATTGAATCTGAAGATGATTTCTTCAGCTACGGGCCTGTGAAGCCAGCCACTCAGATCCAGCAACGGGGAGTGATGGACGAGATCCGCAAGTACATTGAAGGAACGGGGAAGAGCCTCGAGTGCCTGCAGGACTTTCCCCGAGTGAAGCAGCTTTTCCTGAAATACAACACCACCCTGCCATCCACGGCCCCCGTCCAGCGTCTCTTCAGTCAGAAAGGGAACCTGGTCACGTCACAGAGAAACTTTCTGACTGACGACTACTTTGAGCGCATTCAGCTTTTGAGATACAACAGCAATGTGTGTTCTTTGAGCACCGAGTGAATACATAGCTGGTGACTCTCTCTCTGCCTTTTTAATTGATGCGGAATCAAACCACATTGTGCTTAAATCATT